CTAACGTGTCGTGCTCTCATCGAACGCATCGAACTTTATATAATAAGATTATATATAAATGTCAAAACAAAAAGAAAAAAATATTAATGACTGATTGCTGAACATAGATAGTTACGTATTTTCATTAATAAAGATTTCAAGCTTTTATGCATGTGATAGCGCAGCTGAATCACCTAAAAAGGAATAAAAATTATTTGTTTGATTTTGTATATTTGTTGTGGGAGTTTTGCAATTGTGTTTATCCCTCTATTTTCCAACCATATCTAACTTTCTAATATCTTAGAACACCTTTTTACTAACTGCAAAATTTACATATTGTTATTAATCAATTGTGTTTTATTTCAACCCAACTACATATATTACAAAATGAATATGCATAATTTCAAGATAACACTCAAAAGATTTAAAATATCATTCAAACGCATATTACATATATTTTTACATGTATGTAAGTTTAATCTTGCAATCAGGTAAACTGTTTTTTAATAAATTGATAAAAATCGTATGATTATATATTAAAATTAACTTATTTGTAAAAAAATTTTCATACTCGCACGGTGCGGGTCAACCATCTAGTTGAATTTGTAAAAATGAATTATGGCTATATAATAATAGATAAATTGTCTTTGATATTGTTGATAATATTGTTGGACATAAACAATTTTTAAAATGAACTAGTCACATTTCAAGAACCAATCTCTAAATATCCCCTTCACGTAATGGGAAGACAATGCAATCGAAAATTCCAAAATCATTAAATAAATTTGAACCTTTTTTTGGAGTGTCGACTTTTTTGGTAAAGAATTTGACAAGTGGGTTTCACAATTTTTGGAACATTGGATGTGTGAAGTGTATGAACCATTCTTTCTTGTACGAATTATTAAACAAAATTAAGACATTTCGAATAAGAAAATGACAATTGGTTTTCACAAATTAAACCAAGGAATCTGACGTTGACCGGACAAATATCTGGCGCAATCAGAAGGTTCTCATTTGATACGCGGACGGGGAATACTTAAATTTAATAATTTAGCATTTTATAAAAATTGAACCGTCGCACAAAGTATTTAAACGAGCATTATGCCCTTTATCATTAAAATTTGATTGGTAGACAAAACATTAAGCAGTGCGTTTAGTAATGTTAATGCTCTCTAAATGTTCATACCCTCAATGCTCTTAAATAGAGTTTTTCCTGACCTTTGACCTATGCTATTATTAAAAAATATGTAAAAAATTATTAAATAACTAATCTTTTTATATATAAGATCAAAAATAAATTATATTAACTTTTATTTATTTTATTTAATATTTATCATTATTTTATTGATTTTATTATTTTAAAATAATATCAAAATAAAACAATAAAATTTAGTTAAATATAATTTAAATTTGAAAATGTTATTAAAAAAATTATGTTATAATTTTATAAATATATTTATATTAAAACTAAAACCTAATATTTAACATTAGTTTATTTTCTATTTGTTAAATAGTATTATAATAAAATAATAATTTAATAAAAAAATAATTTAATAAAAATGTTGTTATAACTTATGACTAATATAATGTATTAGAATACATATAAATAAATATAATGAAATCATTTATTTAATTTTATATCTAGTTATTCACAGCTCTGCCAATCACTTATACATATTAATCAGAGCA